CGAAACCGGGAGACTTCTTCATGTTGAAGAGGTTTTCGACGATACAATAGGTATTATTTCCGCGGAGAAATTTTTTCCGTAAACTTTCGTACAAAGTCACAAACAATTAAGTTTCCCTTTTTATTACTTGTACGACGTAGTTCAACCAGGCCATTTACAAATAAACGGAAGAAGAAAATTAAACACGTAATTCCGAAGTGAAGTTAACGCGAGCAATATATAAATTATAAATAATATTCACCACAGGGTTGCTCCGCCGCGCCGCGGCCGTCGCGTCGCCCGATGCCTCCCAGGCCACGTCGCGCGCCGCCTCCTCTCTCAGGGTCTCAGGTCCCTCCATTTCTCACTAGCACAACCGTACGCGTACGTTCGACGCAACACTCGCGAAAGAGAGGCTAGTTACGATCGCGCGTGCTAATTACCGAAGTAACGCGCGACACTTTACGCAGTACGCACTCCCGGAGTTATAATCGACGCGGGCTTTACGCTTTACTACATATCACAACATTCACAACGGAGCGAGAGAGACACGATCCGATCGATATCGACACCGACGATCGACGACGTTACACGAAGTGGCACGAACGTTACGGCGGGAAGCGGGAAAGACTCGGAGAATCGGGGCGCTCGCGCCGCGGCGCCCCGCACCAACCTCCCGTTTCGTCTCCCGAGAAAAAAGATTAATTGACGATATCTCGTCCGAACATTCTTTCACTGATGTATGTCACACTGCACACGAAAACTCGAACATCATTGCACGTACGAGCCTAGGTGATACGTACGAAAGATTCGATACGAGTTAGACACCCGCGGCGCCCGAAAGTACGGCGCGGGCGTCGCGTCGCGTCGCGTCATGACAGATACCGAGATACCGAGATACCGCGCGACCTAGCCGGCTAATTCCTCGCGAAATACGCATTTCACTTTCCGGCGAGAGAAAGACGTACGGCGCGCGGCGATTCGCGAGTCGTTTCTCATATATCTCGTTATAAGTAAAATACCTAGCTCCAGAAAACAAAAACGACGTTGCGTAGCATTTAGCATTTATGGACTTATGGTATATGCGTGGCATCGAGGAGCTCGATAGTGCGGCCGTGGCATCGTTCAACTGCGAAAGAGTGATCGCGCATATCCTCCCGTGGCACTCGTTTCAGCGACTCGAAAGATTAAAACGCGAGACCGACGTCACCGGCGAGATTAATGCGATGCGAGGAATGCGAGCCGCGAGGGACGGAACACGGAAGGCGGAAGTCCGACGTCACGACCTACCCCTCTCGTACGCGGCACAACGCGCGCGCCGCGCGCGGCCGCGGCCGGTTCAAAAATAGCGAAAACTTTCAACGAACGATAAGAGATCAACGTATGCCGAATCTTTCATTAACTTTCACAGGGTTAACTGGCTGTATTCTACGTTCTGTCTCGATGGTATCTGGTCGACGTCGCGCAGCTGTCTCTCGAAACGCGAGTGTTGTATATCGCGAACACGTATTAGTGATCATGATTAGCCTGGCAAATAATTAACTCCTATAATCAGTAATTGAGGGGTATCGAGGCAACCGTCGCGTCGCGACATTGGAAAATACGCGTGTCACTTATATTTCGCGATTGCCCGCGCGACGCGCATTCGGCCGAATAAGTACCGTACCTGAAATACGTATTTTTACAAATCAATACCCGAGCGCTGAATTACACAATGCAAGATAAAGCATTAATAAAGATCTTACTGCTCTTACCAATTAAACAACTCGCGACGCCACTCGTTCGCGAAGACCGATCGATCCGCGATGCAATGCGATCCGTTCCGTTCCATGTCTGCCGCGTAAAGCCGCGTTCTGGAAAAACGGAAGGAGAACGTCATCAATATAGCGGAGGCGCTTCGTCTCCCGCGCGGTCAACTTAAATTCACGTGAAAAGAGTGGCATCACTACCACTACCTTTCGCAGATTAAATAACTTTCGCATGTTGAAATTGTAGGTTGATATCCGCAATATTTCAATATTGAAAAATGTATTGTAATATAATTATATTTTATCGAATATTCGCGCGATTTATAAATCATCAATGTCCGTCTCAAACAATTAAGCCAAGATATATTTAAAAGATTTTCTGCTTCGAACTTTTTATATTCTTATCATGCGAGATATTATATTTTTTATTTTTTAGTTTTTGCACTTTTTAAATAATGTGCTTTTTCAGGTTTCCCTATATTTACCATAAACAAATAAAAAATGCCTACTAAACCTAGTAAAAACCTACTTAAAAAAATGTTATATATTTATTAAATGTAACTTTTCGAAAATCAATATATTGCTTATACGCACGGAAATTATTAATAAGATTTTATTTTTAATTATCAAAATATTTGTTTTTACATAATGCTGCTCATATATATAATATAATACGTACCATCCCTTTGTGTGCGTATTCCCACTACCTGATTTTCAAGTTATCCACGTCCTCATTCGTCCCTGGCATCCCTGCTATTAACAGCTCCGGAGGAACGCTCTTATAGTATTTATACATACGAGAGCGTGACGCGATGCCTTGTTCTAACAATTAAGTTTTCCCTCAAGAAGACGCCGACTAGAAAGGGATCCGTTTTCCTGACAAAAATTTAAACCCTAAACTAATAGAAAAGGAACTTGGGCCAGAAATAGGACCTATACGTCTTTGCCTTGGAGATCCAGGAAGCTGTGTTTCTGAGCTGGCCTGTGGATTTCAGGTAGAATATAACGTTCCACTTAACGTGCAGAGACCTTTACACTCTCTTTCCCAAATATGAAAAAAAAGGACAATTTTATTTTAGAATCTAGTAAGGCAGGAGGTACTTTCAAAGAGAACGAGAAGTTAAAGAAGGAAGTGAGACTGGAGGAAGAAAACCTGTTAAAGCTAAAGTTTGACGTACTTTTAGACATGGTAATTTTCTTTTATATTGTATCTTTCAAAAAGTTAGACAGTTAATGTCTAAAACGAAAAGTATATATGTAGTAATAAGTTTATCAATATTATAGCAGAACAATAATGTCGTTTAATTTATTAAACATTGTTAATCGCGTCTAAGACATAAGCAGTAACTATAAAACAACATTAATTGATTATCAAACCATTTCCTTTAAACATCTCAACACTTATGAAAATTGTCACTTCAATGAGGCAAAAGTCCAGTCTTACAGATAAAAGTCGTGTTTGATACTGTTCCGTTCTAATTGAGTTTTTTACAACTTTAATCGTTACAAACTGTACATTATTTACAATACTGTAAAAATCTTGTTCGTCCATTTGATGGGCATCTGTTCTTCGTGTGACCTGTGAAAGAACAGTGGCAAATGTAAACAAATATATATAATATGTATGTACAATATGATAGATTAATAGATATAACTGAGAACAGTAAAAATGTTACTATTATTTTTTTTAAGTAAAAGAAAATAGTAGAGATAGAGGAAGAGAGAATATAACAAACAAACAAACAAACAAAAGAAAAGTCTTTACCTTATCTTCTCTTCCGCAATTTCCGCACTTTCTCTTGCCCCCGGTAAGTCTGAGCCTCTTGGGAGCATTGCCTTTTTGAGAGATTCTGTTTCGTGCTGTATTCCCTCTTCCTTTCGCAGTGGAATTGTTCCAGTCCGTGTTCTCGCGACTACCAGCGTCATCCTTATCTACCCACTTGAAGAACTTACAGGTGGAGTTTATATCTTTGGGACACCTGTAAAACTGCCGTCCTTTATTGGGGTCGTCCAGCGTCCTTATAAACCATCAGCCTAAAGAAAAACACGAAGGAAAATATTTTTACACACATTACAGACATGGCTGTTAACCGGCGATATTTAACTAAGACTTCGACTCATCAATTATTAACATCAATTGAGTTTAGCCGAGAAAGTTTATCGCTCTCTCCGATCGAAGAATTTACTCACTTTTGAGCGGGCTAATTACACTGGCATATAACATCATTTGTGGATGGATTTCCCCAATCGTAATTAGAAGTGCCAATGTGAGAGAAGGGACCAGAACCATCATTGTTTCTGTTCAGATTAGATACTTCCAACTTGAATGCTCGTTCGCTGCGTTATCTTCAGGTTCGGCGCTATCAGATACCCACAAGAAAAAATTGCAACCGCTTTGCGGTTTAGCGCATTTGTAAAATAGATGTCCTGAAATTACAAATGTTATCCAAAGTGACTTATGCAAGTGACAAATCACGAAGATTTATATGCAGTTCCCACTTACCTTTATTTGGTTACTTATCTCTCTTTTCTAACTGTTACTATTTTCCTCTGCCTTGTCGTCTCTCTTTGCCTGGGAGTTATTCCAGAGTATTTCCAGTAAATTTCGGTCATTGCTTTATCTGGTTCTCCGCCTAAAGTTTGCAGGGTTCTTTCGACAGACTGTCTAGTAATTTCCAAGAATTTTATGCTCTGAAACACGAAGAAAACATTCAAAGTCTTGTCAAATGTATGAAAAGAACATAGGACAGGTTTTCAATTACCTATATGTCCTATATACATGGATATTAGGCTTGACGGCTTGGCAGACCTGAATAATCTCAAAGCCTAGGTTCTTCCCCTCTGTCACCTGTCATAATTTGTCCGAATAATCAATGCGTCGCAGGATCGCACTTCTCGCTCTAAGGTCCTTTTAATCTTTACATATTTTCATCTAAGCACTGCTTAAACACCGGAGCATCAAATAAGCTTAACAGATAGATGACAGCTGTACCACTTGCTATAGATTCCAGTGAACTCGTAGCCTAAAATAAGTGGTCGGTCACGAATGTCATCCGCATTTGGCAGTTTTGACCATTATAGTTGTATGTTGTATGTATGTACATTAAATTCGACGATCTTGTTATACACGGAAAAACCTTTCCTCCGCAAAAAAAAACAGAAGAGTTAAGAAGCATATTTCACTAGAACTCCTTTGGTTTGCGAATAGATATGATATCGAACAATGACAAGTACGTGAACGATAGTCACAGACTACGGCTGAGAGAACGCTCAATGCACAGTTTACCTTTAATTGTTTACCTTTCTGCTGGTACCCCGTGCGACAAATAACCAGCGATAGTTTTAGCCGCCTGCCGCGTTGGGCTTCTCGGCAACATTGAACGGGTAAAAAGATATTCTTCAGATATTCTTTCAGGCTTCTTGCGGGACAAATTGTCGATGCTCTTCAGACCGTAATATATCATATGCAATTCAATGCGATATTGTATAATTTAGAGAGGACCATAACATGACGCTTGGTATTTGTTATTTGTTGACAATTTTCTGTCATCTGTCACGGAGGTTAGGTTAGGTTCGCTCTGTTCCGCGTTCGCTACTTTTCCGACACTGTCGATAAAACATCATTGGATGTACTGGCGCGTGGCGCCTGGCGCCCCTGGCGGTAGTGGTGTTGTACGCCGATGTCCACGTAGTTCAAGGTACACCTTTTGCGCACATAGTGGCGCCAGTGGACGGATTCCAACCAAACGCGGGCATCAAGCTTTTCTCTGTATAGATACTATAGCCTATAGCGACAGAACTTGCAAAATGGCGTCTCACTGAAAGAGAAATTCGTGTATTTGTGCGTTTGCTACGGATCGTTGCTGATTGTGATCGTTGTAATCATTTAGATCATTGGAATTGCTGTGTGTAGTGATTTTATGTTTTATCTATTAATTATTTACTAAACTTTATCATGGGGTAAGTGTATTGCATATACGAGAACTCAATTTATAATATTACATTATCAACAGAGAGAGAGGGAGAGAGAGAGAGATTTGTCCTCGATTTGTTGAAAGAATGGAAAAGAATCAACATTCTCTTTCCAATCTTTTTATGAACAATTGTTTTATCAAGATACTTATTTCGATATATGTATAATTGTAGCACGTCAGATTTGGAGGGTGCTGAATGTAAGCAAGAACCCTTGGAATTAGATTCTGATGCAGATGGAGTGATTGATCAAAGGAAGAAAAAGAAGCGAAAACATAAGCATCATAAGCATAAGAAGGAAAAATTAATTGAAAAAGACGACGAACGATTGGATAAGCAAGAAAGGTAATATAACTTATAAACTAGCAATCATATATGTACATTAATGCGATAAATGCATTGAAATCGAAATTTAAATTTATAAATAAATACCTTCTTATAGACGGAAACACAAGAAACACAAGAGACAGAAAAAAGATAGAAATATGGAGAACGGTACCATGGAAGAGAAATTGATCTCCAATGTGGTACATAAAGGAATTGGTATGAATGGGAAAACAAAAACTTCCTCCGTATTGGAGGTTGTTTCTACAGAAGAAAGTGAAGATGAAAAATTGGTTGATCTTGATTCCGATGAGGTAGATTGTACCATCATAGAAGATGATATTGATCTTGAAGAATTAATGAAACAAAAGGTAGGCAAACATGTGTTTCGGATTAATTGAAGTAATAATATGTTATATGCACTATGTATAGTATATAGTCTTTAACTAGTTTTTAATTATGTATAAAGTATTTTAAGAGCTGACATAACGTTGACTCTAAAGTGAGAGAAAAAAATATATATATATGTATATAAAAGTAAAAAAATATATATATATATATATATATATATATATATATATATGAAAATTAAACATATGAATTATATATGTGTACACGCACACACACGCACATGGTTATGTTTAATTTTCCGAGTTGTAACAAATTGAAAAAAGTGCTTGCCTTTTGCTGCAAAATATGCTGTAGGATGTTTACTAATGTATATTATCATTTTTACATGTATCACAGAATGTGCATTTAGTACATAATTCAATTATTGTAAGATTGCATTGAGATTATGTTGAGAGATTGTGAGGCATCTCATGTGAGTATCTGAATCTTTATCATAGTTGCATTTGTATGTATAGGAACGATTGCAAGCGTGTTTAGTACAATATCTCTCGGATGAATCCGAAAAGGGTGATGAGAACAAGGAGTTACAAGGAGAGGAGGAAGAAGAAGAAGAAACAAAAACAACAATAGAGACACCTGATGTGATACTCGTAGAAGATGATAGCGATACTGATGATGTACCACCAAAGAAACGAGGTAGAAGTAAATCAGGCAGTAGAGAACGTAAGAAAGTGTTAAAAACCGAAAGACGTGTTATAGTTGATATGACTAGAGACAGAAAAACCCGCGAACAACACAAAGATAAGAGAAGAGATTTTGATAGGAAAAGAGACGAGAAAGTCCGCCTTAGAGAGGAAGGAGGGAAAAGAGAAGAAACTCGAAGAGATGACAGATCGTCACGAAAAACTAACGAAAGGCAGAAAGAAGATACGAGAAAAGACGAATCCAATAGAAAAGCAGACGATGATCAACAGAGACGTAAAGATTTATCAAGAAGAGACGAGACACGGAAAAGAGAATCAGACAGACGGTAAGTGATGAACATTATAATTCGTATTATTGCTTGTCTCGTTCGTTATTTAATGTCATTGAAAGATATAGTTATTAATATGTTAATAATAATATATATATATATATATATATGTGTGTGTGTGTGTATATACAGAGAAGAGAACCGAAAACGAGAGCAGCCCATCCGTCATGGTTCAAAAACTCATAACAACGAGGCGAAAAATTCAGATAGCAAGAGCCGCGACAGGCTGGAAAGTCGCGAACGCCAAGACAGCCGAGATCGTCACATTAGTCACGATCGACGCAGTCGTGACAGATTATCGAGCAGAGAGCCTCGCCGTCATGCTAGTCGCGACAAGAGGGATAGTAAAAGCAAAGATCGATATGGAAATAGAGATCGACATGATGGTAGTCGCGATCGACGAGACGCCCGGTATCACGACCATCGAATTGAAGATCGGTCTCGCAGTACCGCAAGAAGATCACGTAGTCCTACTCGAACCAGATCGGAAAGAGAACGAAACGATCGATATAAGAGGTCCAGGTCTCCTTCTCGAAGTCGCAGAGATCGAGACAAGCAACAAGTCAGGGATCATGTTAGGGATCGCGATAAGGATAGAGAGAGAAATAGCAAGCGAGAACGCAGCGATAAATATAAGGATTCTTTATCGGAAGGTCTCAAGGTAGAACATTCGGATAGCTCGAGCGAAGAGGACATCAAAGATATCGATATCGAGGAAGAAGAAGATGAAGAAGCTATTATAGAACGTCGACGAAAACAAAGAGAAGAATTGCTCAAAGTAAGTAATATATTCTCGTCGTAGTCTATCATGTATAAACATGTATACATGTATATGTTGTTTGATTATATATATATATATATATATACATATGTATATACCTTTTTCTCTCTTCAGAGACTAAGTGGACCAAATGAAGATTCAAATATGTCTGCCGACATCAATGTCGCGGGTTCTCCAGAAAGCCAATCTAATATATCACAAAAATCTGTAGAGATGCCATCCCATAACAATGAATCCGTTCTGGAGAGCCATACTCCACCACTGCCCACAGAGAAACTAGAGTCTCCGCCTCCAGCGAAAAAGAGAAAGTCTAGATTCGAGGATACGTCGTTAAATGAGTCTGACAAAACGGGGAACATCAAGACATCTGAAAGGTTTAAACAGGAAGAAAAGCAAACTTCAAAAAAATCCAATGAATGGGACATGTTTGCGGAAGCAGATAATATCGGAGATTTTAATGTATGTTTTTTTTCATTTGACTTCTCCTTATTTATATATTTATTTTGTTCTCTTATCTCTGGCAATTCTTATTATTTATTGTCTGATTTCTTATTGTCCAGAGCCCTACACTTGAAGGAAAACGTCAAGGAGGACCTGACAATCCTAGTTTAACAGATAATTGGGACGACGCCGAAGGATATTATCGGTCAGTTACATATTACTTCTTCATCTCGTGTCATTGTTTTAATTTAAAAGTCATATCAAAAAGCTTGAGAACTGATAATAACGAAGTAATTGGATTCTCAGAGTGCGCGTTGGAGAAACGCTAGATGCGCGATACGTAGTCTATGGATATACGGGACAAGGAGTATTTAGTAACGTAGTGAGAGCAAGAGACAGCGCTAGAGGAAATTTGGACGTAGCTGTGAAGATTATAAGAAACAATGAAATAATGTAAGCATTAACCTTTCGTGATTTTTTTAATCCATCGTAATACATAATGCTGTTACCCTTTTCATTCTTACAGGCATAGAACTGGTTTAAAGGAGCTAGAAATTCTTAGAAAGCTGAACGACGCTGATCCAGAGGATAGATTTCACTGCTTGCGTCTATTCAGGCATTTCTTTCACAAAAATCATTTGTGTATGGTTTTCGAACCTTTAGCTATGAATTTAAGAGAAGTACGTATAAGTGTTTATCGTAAATAAGATTTACGATTTAAAATTATTTTAATAGTATTGCGACAATCATGTTTGTTGGGAAATTGCAGGTTTTAAAGAAGTATGGCAAAGACGTTGGCTTACACGTTAAAGCGGTAAGGTCGTATACGCAGCAACTTTTTCTAGCACTAAAGTTATTAAAGCGTGCGAATATTCTACATGCTGACATCAAACCGGATAATATTCTAGTCAGTGAAAGCAAACTAGTGCTGAAACTCTGTGATTTTGGTTCCGCATCGCACGCCCACGAAAATGAAATAACACCATATTTAGTTTCAAGATTTTATCGTGCGCCCGAAATTAGTAAGTATTTTATTTTGTTATGGAATCTGGTTATTATCACTTGCTCTCTCTCTCTCTCTCTCTCTCTCTCTCTCTCTCTCTCT